GGATCATGACCGTGAAGATTGGAGCAATGGCTGCTGAAAATTCAGTTTTGCCATAAAAAAACATGAAAACTTCTTTTAAATTGAATACTATTTCTGTGTTTTTGATCAAACTAATTCAGCCTTAAGGTGAACATAGGACACAAAAAAAACTTCACCACTAAAACCTTTAAACAGAAAAAAACATTAACACTTAAATACGTGTATACATAAAATTAAACGGATAGTTAACTTAAAGAAAATTGTCATCATTTACTCACCCTCAAGTTGAATGAATTTCTTTCTTCTGAATGACCTTCATACAGTTTTGAAACGACTTGAGAGGGTGAGTAAATGACGACAGAACTTACATTTTTAAGTGAACTATTCATTTAAATGGAAATTACATGTATAATATTCAATTTTAAGAACCTACATTTCTCCAGTAAGAAAAAAAAAATACATCCTAAATTTTGAATGTGCCAAAAAGCGAATTTTTCAAAGAGAAATATCTACCTGATGAAATATTTGAGAGCAAAGCACAGCTAGAACAAAAGTAAGATTTTTTGTTTTTTTTTTACTTTCCCCCCATATTTTCCCATGATTGTAGGAACCCTTAATTACCCTTTATTTAAACTTTATTGGTAGAGAAAAAAAGTAATGTACTGACCATACAAATCACACCCACACGGAACTCAAGCAATTGTATAAGTGAGTGTTATTGTGTCCTTTTGGACTTGATGTCTCTGAGGGATATCTCTTCTCCATATTTTACATCATCTCGGGCACATTAGACTCAGGACCAGTGAGAAGAATACAGCTACCACATCCTACTTACTGATATGTGATCACTGCTACATTACCTAAACAAAATATGTGTATAATAGTGAGATTCCTTCATAAAATCATTCCCTGAGAAACTGTCACAGCAGGCTCTGTTTGGTAGCTCAACTAACTGTGTCCAGACAAGCGCTATTATCCACACAGACAAGTCTGCCTCATCTTCATTTGAACCTTATTTAGTCAAATTTTATTTTGGTCTGTCAACTTATTTGTCAGTCAGAGACAGAAAACAAGCCACTGATGTAGAACTAAGAACTCCCAAAATACATCCCATCTGCTTTAAACACTCACAACATGACGATTGAGTGATTTAATCAAACTGAGAACACACATTTAAGGCAGAGAGACATGATGTTAGAAAACTGAAGCACTAAATCTAGTCTTCATTGCTCGAATGAAACGCTCATTAGGGCAAAACTGAGGTTGGGCAATATAGCTAAAATATCTTTAAAGCTACACTGTGTGATTTTTACTCCCATCTAGCCGTGAAAAGGTATATGATCATCCAGTGAATATTAGTTTCTGTTCCTCTCAATTCCGATTTCGTTTTAACTCCTACGGTGGCCAATGCAGTCCAAGATTAACATGGCTTCCAGTTCGACCTCGTCCATGAGTGTTAACTCAAACGTAAGCGCGAAAGGTGAAGCTTGAATTAACGGGTATGTCCCTCTTTGGCTAATGTACTTTCAATATGGAGGGGCAACATGGCGACCGACATTAGAACCCCTTAATATATGTATTTTCAATGGCATATTATACACTCACGAGAATACTTTATTACTTGAACGAAGTAAATGTACATTAATGAGCACATACATTTTTGAAAGAACTAAGTGTTTTTAGCTAAGAATAAACTAAAAGAGTTACACAGTGTAGCTTTAAGCATATTAATAGCATTTTATTATTATTATTGTAACCAACTATTATTGTGACCAAACAGCTATTTATATTCAATATGTTTAATGCAAGGTGTGAAACACAATTAAAATGGTGTCAAAAATCATCAAGATGACCCCACACAGTTTTTCACTAAATCAAAGAACAATATTTAACCAATTTCATTTACTGGTATATAAACCAATATAAGTAGCACGTACCATCCTAAAACATTTTCCTAAAATATACACTGTTCAAAGTTTGATCAAAAGTTTCTTATGCACACCAAGACTTCCTTTTTTGATCAAAAACACAGTAGAAAAAAAGTAACAATGTGAAATATAATTACAATTTACAATACGGCCCTCAAATCAAACGACCTTGGACAGCCTGGATGATTCCACTGGTGTTACGGCCCATATCCCTCAGGGCTTTTTTTGAGAAGCAGAGTAATTAAGGAGCAGTAATTAACAACTTCAGACTAACAGGCCTGATCTCCCCCCGCGGGACCCAGCGGACGAGGGCATGAGAGGATATGAGTGACACAACTGACCGATTATGAAGACCTTCTGTGAAATCTAGTAGCTTTAGTGACAGAAGACACTTCGTGCCCAGTAGTTAAAGAAGTGAAGTGCAACTGACCAGTAAAAGACACTAATGACTTTTAATAATGACATGGAAAGAGCAGCCAATCTTAAGAGTCAGCACTCACAGGATAAAGTTGCAGATCAGTCAGTCATTCGTGGAGCAGTGACCATCTCTAATGACAGTGAGGTGGTTCACAACTTTCAGTACACTGCACTTCAGCCAACATGAAAATATAAGCAAAGGACAACATCACTGATACGAACAGCTCTAAACTGACTGTTATTTCCAAGAAGACACATAATTGGGTAAAATGACATAATAAAATGTTTGGCAAATTCACTAAAGAACTGACCGAAATTAGCAATTTGCTCAAAAATGGGACATTGTTGTATCATTGCGAAGATTTTATACTAACCAGGAGCAACAGCCTATCAAGCAGATATATTGCCATTACTAGAAGAATATTTTGTAGAGCATGAAACATATAAAATGAATTTTCAGTATATAAAATACAATAACTTTACCACAATCAAAATTTTACCATGATATTTTCAGATACTTTTTGGTTGACCGGGTCTATGGGAAGCCTGGAAGGTTCACTATCAGGGTTCTCAAAGGAATCTTACCATTAATAATAATAATAATAATAAAAAAGTATTAAGTATAAAGTAAAAAGTATACAGTATTTTTATGTTTTCAGAACTCCCTCCAAATAGCCTGGTAAAAAAACCTGTTTCACACTTCATTTCACTGATTCTCCATGGCTAAAGGTAATGGCACCAGTTCAACTACTTGAGTGACTGTAAGATGTTGGACTGAAAACCCTGGACAGTAAAGCAGCAATAAATCAGTATTCCCGAGAGCTGCCCATTGAAATGACCCTCATTCCTGGACCCTGATTAAAAACATCGTAGTAGATTCACTGTCTGAAAATCTTGTTTCATGCTTAGTTTGTCTAATTAGACTCCAGACACAGGTTATGATAATGAGAATATTCCGAAAAGAAAAACTTAACTTCATATCTAAAAAAGTCTGTTTGTTTGTCCTGTTCTCCCTCAAACAGTGAATGACATTAGTGCAGTCTAAACATGTTCTTCACTAAATGCCATACATATATTAGAGGCTTATCCACTTCCATCTAAGGTCATTTTGCCTTTGTGTTTATATCATCCTGTGAGTCACTGCAAACATACCATCTATATCAGCCCTGGATCTGCCAATCAGGGCCAGACCAACTAAAAAGCAGCCAATACAGATAAGAGCAGCCATATTAATCCCTCCCTTATGGTATAATGGGAAGATTTGCTATTTTGCTCTCTGGATCCTGCGGAAGGCAGTGAGAACCAGGGGAGATAATCCCTCCGAAATTCCTCTCAGCATGAGAAATCCTATGCACATAAATACAAAGAATCACAGATGTAGCCAATTCAAACTACATGCAATCTCTTTAATGTAGTATCCCTTTGTTAACCCAAACAGCAAGGAATAACGGCAGGATACTACAGCAGATATAACAGAAGAACTGGAATTGGATTGCTTTTGATTGACTGTGACCTCTGAAGTTCAATAAGAACATCAGTGAAAAAGATAAATGCACATGGAAAAAAACCCAAGGGTCTGGGAAATGGCAGAAATTGATTTGTAATAGTTACAAAAAGTAAATACATGTTTACATAAATATTTAATTGAAATATAAATTAATAAATTATAAACATATGCTTTATGATTTATAAATGAATGTTTAAATTATCCATAATCCCAAGATTATTCTAAATATTATTGAATCAATTACAAACTATATTTTTTTAACTAATCTATTCAATGGTTTCTAACTCTGAATGACAAAATAATGTCAAGATTTATAAAGAATACTAATCATACTACTGTTCAAAAGTTTGGGGTCAGTTTTGGGATTCTTTATCTAAGAAAAAATAGTCAGCATGATAATCAAAAAGGAAAGTAAAGACATTTATAATGTTATCAAATAGATCCTATTATTTTAAAAAGTAAACCACAATTTCCTCAAAACAAAATTGACATCACAACTGTATGACAATAAAAATAAATTGCGCACCAAACCATGCCTATTCTTATTTCTGAAGGATCATGTGACACTGAAGAATGGAGTCAGGGCGGCTGAAAATTCAGTTTTGTCACAGGAATAAATAACGTTTAAAATATATTAAAATAAAGTAACAGCTATTTAAATTTGTAATACAGTTTAACAATATAATTCACTGTATTTGTGAGCAAATAAATGCAGCCTTGGTGAGCATAAGACATTTCTTTCAAAAACCATAGACTTCTGAATAATATATAAGATAAAGATTTATATTAAACTCATTAGTCACAACTATATGAAATCTCTGTATTTGCGTGTCAAATTTTTCCAGATGAATATGCACATTACAGCAAAGGCCAATATTCAAATACAACCCTCTGGGTTTAACAATATCTCTAGATGTTTAACCACCATCATCAGTTAAAGTCTACATCTATTAGAATTATTAATGGTATGTATGGAATAGACAAATACAGACTTCAGGTCATGTATTTAAGTCTGTGATGGTAAAACATCTGAAGATGAAACGAAAAGGTTGTAGGTATGAACCCTGCAATTTTCCCCTGCAACTTTCCACAGACCCTTTAGCAGTCCCCTGGACCACAGGTGGAAAACCCCTAAGCTAAATGATAAAATGTCTGAGCCTTCACATTACCTTTGCTTTCCCGGTGCTCTGCAGGATGTGCACCAGGGCGCAGGCCATCTCTTCTTTGTTTTGACGCTGATGACCGGCTCCAGGACAGAGCAGAGCAGCATGTAGTTGTTGGTGGTGTACTCTGCAAACTCTTTGTAGAGCTCCATGGGCAAGATGTTCATGCTTTGGTAGCGGGTCTTGATGCGGACCATAGGACCAGCTGTTTTCCCTTTACCTGGATTGGGTTGGCTAACGGGGTACCATTTCTCAACCAGCTGCCTGCTCGTGACCGTCACCACTGGAATGCTCACCAGCCCCACATAGTTATTCTTGTCCTTTTTCTTCTTCTTGTCAGAGTCTCTATATAGATGGACGGTGATGTTCTGGACCGTAGGGAGGTTGTTGAACTCAAAGTGCTCACCCCAGAAGACATTATCCGTCTTCAGCTTGCAGGTTGTACGGGCATAGAGGCTGTCGTCGAGGCAGAGCTCGCAGAAGTACTTTTTCTTGGCCGGAAGGTCTTTTGCTTCGATGATCCACAGCCGCAGTGTATTCTCAACCCGCCGACTGTTGTCCTAGAGACGGAAGGGCATTGTGAGGTTAGTGGACTGTTAGGCTGCCTTGCCAAGGCTTTAGCGGATTATTACCGCATCAGTGTGGCATCTAACAGGGTCAGTGATTTAGAGATGACGTGCTTTTTCGGCTCAGTGATTAAATACCCTCTGCTTCAGATCACCCACCCTTGGCTGGGAATTAAAAGGCCCTTTATTTTAGATCACTTCATGTCCTTCCCATAAAGATAGCAGGATGGTGCTGTAAATAGTGTGTGACATCAATCAGCAGTTAATGTCATTCACTGGCCTTTTTAATTGAATAGTCTTTCCAGTGTGAAGTCATGTGGTTTAATATACGAGGGGCGGCCATAATTTGACCTGCATCGTGCTGTGTGAGGCTAAGCTTTTGTTGTAATATAATAGAGATTAACTTATAGATATCCCTCCGTACTATTAAAACATAGGAGGCAATGGAGGATGAGATCAGAATAAAACTAAATGTCACAGTTATTTCTGAGGCCACAGACCGTCGTGAATCACTAAACTGAAAAGACTAAAGCCCTCGTTCATTCTTGTCCCTGACCCTCTAGCCATTGGACAGTGTCCCACCCACAATTAGTGATGTCATGCAGAAGCATTTATATCTGGGGTGAAATGTTACTGCTACGTTACTAATTTAAAAATGATAAATCTGGTGGGCCGCAGTCTACAGTGGGTTAGTGTTGTAAATATAAATTAGAAATCACAACCCTCAAAATTAATGAGTTGGGCTTAGTTCACACAAAATGACTCCAATTTCAGTCTGTTCACCATACAAATCTATCATATGGCTTCAGATGGCTAGTTGTTTAAACGCATTTATGGGCCACTTCTGGACCCAATACGACTTAATATTAAACAAAATAGGAAATATTACAATTGAAATAGTTAACTTTGAAATAAATCAAGTACATAAGAAAATAATCAAGCTATTATTTTGTCAGAAAACAACAGGGCTCTTAAAGCTTTTATTTTGTTGACAACAGCCAGTTCATAAGCACTTCTCATTACAAGTTTGTGAAGATGGTTGATTCCCAAATGTGCACCCTAACTTAGAGTTTATTTGGAGCAGCATTAACTGTGAACCGATCTGCTTTGATAAACTAAAAACACGAGCCACTCGCTTGTAAAAGAACAGTGTCGCGTTTCACTGTGAAACATACATTTACTTAATTGAATCGCATTCGCAGCCTTCGTGATTTTATAATTGCATTGAGTCATATTAGTTTTCAATTTTTTCCGATTAATCCTGCGGCCCAAAGCTGAATAACGATTCTTCAAAATTGGCAAACAGCATGAAGCTGAGTAAATAATGACACAATTTCCATTTTTGAGTGCACTAACCCTTTAAGGCCTGACTGATGAAGTGCTCTATAACATCAGTTGATTGTACTGAGGGCACAGGGTATTGTGTAGGACTCGAGTGCTCATGGATATTCCCACACAAATAAACACCCACTAAGGCAATTGATTTTGCATCTCAGTATTGAGGTGCTCCATTGTGTGCCCTCATCACAGATAATGAACTAATTAGGCAGACAGAAATGCGGCTCTGCCGCAGCAGCTAATGCCTAAGCTATGATCATCTCCGCACTACTACAGCATCAACATCTGTCTGAAAGCATCATCTGTTCACAGCAAAGCTCTCTAACGCCTGGCTCTAGTGTTCACCTCAGAAACCCACTGAGTAATTAAAATGTAAGACTGAACGATGGGGAGACATTAAACACATCCCCAGGCAAGCTGTGAAGAAGGCAAAATATAACTTGAAGGTTGTGCTTGAATTTCCCCCAATCTAATTAATCATTAATTTGCTTAATCATTGATTGGTGAAATGAGCTGTCGTATGTTTTTTTTTTTTTTCATGTTCAAAGCAGCCATATGTTTTGCAGATTCTCTCCTGAATCCCATGTGCTTATATCAAAGAGAGAAATAAACTGCCCTGAATTTCATCACTCTTACAGATACAGACAAATAACTTGATTTTCCTTCTTTCTTTGCATTGAGTTGCATTTTTGCATTAGGTATGATATTTGCCTATGATGATACATAAGTGGTGGTGCAGTGAGGCAATTTTACCTTATTAGGGTGGATGGCTCGTCGCAGGTTCTCCATCCATTTGTCTCTTTCAGCAGACGAACGACAAGAAAAGCACTTGCTACCTGTGGAGGTGCTCACCTGGAAAAAAGGGGCGATTAATTGTCAGCTTACTGCAGAAATCTCATGGCTTCCGGCTTGCTTGCAACAAAAGAAAACCTGTGCAATGCTTTAATGTCAAGTGAAAAGATGAAAAGAAACAAAATGCAAAACTGAACTACATTAACTGACAGATATTTTAAAATCGATACTGGGACCATTCAATTAAAATTACAATTAACTGTAAATCAATATTTTTTTACCTAGTCCAAGATTACTTTAACCAATTACTTTTTCGCTGGAAACTTGTCCAGGGTGCATTTTCCAAAGCCAATATATGGTCACAGGGTATGTCCTTGACTCCTTACCAATGGAGTTCAAAGGAACTTGGGACCATAGTTGGCTAACGATGCTTTTGGGAAACACACCCCTGATTAGAAAACATTGTTTTATGAATGACGATATACTGTAATGTTGAATTTAAATGAACGTACTAAGGGTCAAAGGGATCGCATCAGTGAATTTGTTTGTGTATATAATGCAATGTACTTGAAGAGTTCAGATGCAAAAGCCTCTAAATTCCATTTGAAATTTTGTTCTAAAATGAAAATTTTTATCAAGCTTGTATATCTAAGTTCAGTAATTTCACTTAAATGACAATGAAGATTACCTATTAATTGTCATTTAAGTGAAATTACTGAACTTAAATATACAAGCTTGATAAAAATGGTCATTTTAGAACAAAATTTCAAATGGCATTTAGAGGCTTTTGCATCTGAACTCTTCACATTTACATTTATTCATTTAGCTGACGCTTTTATCCAAAGCGACTTACAATTGCTAAATATGTCAGAGGTCGCATGCCTCTGGAGCAACTAGGGGTTAAGTGTCTTGCTCAGAAACACATTGGTGTCTCACAGTGGATTCGAACCCCGGTCTCTCACACCAAAGGCATGTGTCTTTTCCACTGCGCCATCACCACCCCACCAGAGTGAGTGAAAAGAGCGAGTAAAGTGAGCAAAAGAGGCGTCTATACCTCGAAGCAGTAATCTTGGCCGAGGATGGAGCTGTGCACTGGTTTAATGAAGACTTCCTCCTCCATGCTAAGGTCCAGAGCTTCTACTGCACTGCTGGGACTGAGCAAAGACTCGTGAGAGCGCGACTCCTTCAGTCTGGGCATCAGATGAGACCTGAGATAGAAACACACACCAACCAGTGACACAGGTATCTCACTCAAGCTTTTCAATTATCTTGAAAACAAGACTAATCTAGTCAAACTCATATTTTAGTCAGAAAATAAGTCTGATACTGCTCCATAGGGCTTTGATTATGAGGCGTGTCTTAACCGAACCAGGAAAAAAAAAAACTCTGCACTCAATTGGATAGACCTACAACCAATCAGAGAAACATAGTAAGTGACGTAAATACACACACGCTGGAAGAAGAACTAAAATAATGAGTGTTGCTTCTTTTACTTGTTCCTCCATGAGTGCGACCAAAGGAGAAACCACAACAACCACAGGGTTTTCATTGCGTCCCATCTTCTTAGTGACCATAGGAGCCAGCTGATAAATTAAACTTTGCCGAATCCCGTAGGAAGGACATCTTTCCAATCGACAAATGCCTTGATTGCAGTTCTCTGTTCTTCTTTTAAAACTAATGCGATGTCGATTTCTTTTACAACAGATGTGATAGTGAAATCTATACATCTCAAATCTCCAGCTGCAGTCAACTTTGAGGGAAACCAGTTCAACCCAAGCGCTCTTTGATAAAGTGATGATTACGTAACTGCAGATCATCTGTCCATCATCGTATAAAGCCTGTCCAGACAATTTGATTGGTCCAACGATTTCTGAACCGATCATAAATAATCCTCAATGGATTGAGTCCAGACCGAACGTCCCGACCAAAAAATGCTGTGGGTGGGATTTGGGCTGGCTTTCAGGCTAAAGATAATCTAATGGGATTTATAGCAACTGAAAAATCAAGTATTTCTACAGCATTTTATTTTTACAAGTCTGTAGGCACCCTTTCAAAGAAATACTGTACAGTGGAGAATAGCATAAATGGCTTAGAATAGTCTTAAAAGTTAGTCATCTCATTTTTTTCTTCAAGACTGCTTATAACTTTTTAAAGTAAGTTACATAAAAATGTAGATTGGTATAATTTGACTGATAAACTAGTTCTTAACTAGGTTTCTGCAACTGGCCCCAGGACACAGAAGATAAGGGGGTCAAAGAAAAATAGATCAGAGTCTTAGGATTTCGCAATAATTTTTGGTTTTAAAAGTTTCTAGCTATTGTTTAACTATCAAAGCTCATTTGGATCATTATGATCAACATTACTTATCATTATGTATGATAAGTAAATTTTAACTAATTTGCATAAGCTCAAACCTTTTAAAAATAATTAAAAAAAAAAAACCCTCAAACAGCCACAATGACTAAAATGTGTCATAAAAATATAAAACAATTGATAATGGACACAACTTTTTCAAAAAATATATATCAATATAAAGATTAAATATATTTTTATGTTGAATAATAAAGCATATTTTAAACAGAATTTTGCCCCCCAAAAAAATAAATTAGATAATTATTTACTTGAAAAATGTGAATGACTAGGCCAGCAAAAAAAAAAAAAAAAAATCAATGTTGAGTCCTTAAACATGCTCTACGTATTGAGACATATAATGCACCAAGCCATTAATTACTCATCAAGGCATATAAATTAACACAGGCATGTGCTGTTTGAGAAAAGTGCATGTTGCTCTATGCTTTGATCACGACAGGTGTCATTAACTGAGCTGTCGGTTAGTGTTAACGCTCACAGAAACTGATTAGTGCCCTGACAAGATAATTAGTGCCTTATTCAAACAGCTAATTATCTCTTAATAATCTAAAACAGAGTTTATAAAATCTCTGCCATACTTTTCAATACCTGTTAAGGCATGAAGACAAGTCAGAAAATAACATCTCAGATCATAAAGTTGTGAGCGCTTGCATGCAGGTGTGAAAGATGAAGCCATTTAAAATGCCAATACCAATCGTGTCACATCAATTCAACACGTTCTGCATCCATAATAAACAGTGATGGGAGACAGCAAGCATATCATTGGAAAATCCAACATGTTTACCGCTGTAACTCGAGTGGAAGATTTCATCTGATGAAGCCTGTGTTAGTCTGAACTGACGTTAATTAGTGCTTGCTACAAAGCATATCTGATCTGGGAACAGTTCCACTACTCATCCCTTAATGTCAGCCGAAGAGAAAAGCGCACACAACAATCTTCTGATCTCCAAGGAATTTTTTTCACACAAAAATGAAAATTCAGTCATTATTTACATACCCCCATGTTGCTGTGCAGCATAGCCCCTAAAAAGGGTTGCTGTGAATCTGGCTGTGATGAATGTTTAGTATAGTAGGTTCAGTAAGGTTTCACAATTCACACTAAAACAAATTAGCTTTTCTAGTTGTATTTAGTATACATTTGTTGCAAATGGAGTTGCTGTTGGATGGTTTTTGTATAATACTTGAAGTTTTTTTTTTAGATTACATTATTAATTTATTCTAGGACACTATATTATTTACATTATTTGATTAATTATACTGTATTGTATAATATATTTTATTACATAATTATTATATTATTTAAATATAGTATTTACATACTTTTTCAGTGTTTTCGTGACTCATTAAAAATATCCAGCCTTTGATTGTGAATCGGTCATCACAGCTTGCTCTTCTATGTTTTTGCATGCAGGAAAAACTAGCATGCGCTCCATACTTCTATACTTCTGCAAAGAGCAGCTCGGGCAATCTGTTTAACATCTCATTTTGTGTTTCAAAGAAAAGATAAAATAACATAGAATTAGAATGACAACATTTTAATTTATGAGTCCACTTTCCCTTTTAATCAATCAGTTCAGTGTACAGCATATTAACTACAGACATGAGCGATGTGTGATCTCTTCACAAAGGGGATTCTGATGGTAGATGTCAATTGCTTTGCCCCACATAGGGAGACAAATAAACCTGATAGGAGGCAATCCACAATCTCTCCATAAACAATCATCATCAACTGTTTGTCGCTGTGTGTTTCTCATAAATTATTTACAGTATTCTATTACCCCTTTCTTTACCTCCCTTCCCCCTCTCCTTTATTTTAATTTCCTTTTTAGTTTATTTCACTCTTTCTTCCACAAAGATCTTCAGAGGTAAGACTATACTCCCGAGACCAGCTTTGTCTCTTAACCACTGAGGCTTCTGAGAGCAAAACGTGTGTGATTGGCTGAGGTGAAATGAAGCAGAGGACTCTGAGAGTAATTGGAGCAAAGGGGATTTTGGCATTGATCCATGCTTGAAGCGCCATTGAAGAGAAAGAGTATCAAACTAGCAGTCCAAAAGACAGGTTGAGTTCCAGAACGGGGAGAAACCAACATCAGTTATCCTGACTAAACATTGACAGACACTGACAGAAAGTACTGGGAATAGCTGTCAAAAAGCTTTGGCGAAAGACTTTTTGAAAGAAACACTGTGTGTTGATCGGAACAAGTGTCAATCATTTAGTTACTGGATATGAAACTTTCAACATCAAAAGAATGTTCCTTAAAAATGAACTTCTGCTTTCTGAATGAAAAAAGACTTCAAGACTGTGTCCTGAGAGAAAAAGGGATTAGGACTGAAAATACCCCAGAAGCTCTTTTTTTTTTTGGTCAGCAAGTTTGGGAGGAGATCAAATGCCATAGAAACAAAGACAGAACAGTTCAGCACTTTCCATTGGCTAAAGCTGATCCTTCTTTTTCTCAGATAAGATAAAAGTAAATAATGCATGCTTTCTATGTAAAATGAAACAATAATTCAAACCCTGGATATGAAGGGCTATGTAAATTTAAAAAAGTATATTGTAAAAAAAAAAAAAGTTAGTTTGACTTAAACTAACCTGGTTGCTTTTTTTTTCTTTAAAATAAAAAACAAAATTGAGTTAATGCGACGGAGATTGGTTAAATCAACAGAAACTCTCAATTTTATGTTTTCTGAACCATTTAAATGATATAAGTTGATTTGACAAAAGAAAACAACTGTTGTGATGTTGCACATCCACCACTGGTCAAGGATCGCCCCCCGCCCGGGTGCGTTGGATAATAAGACCAGACTAGCTAGTCGTTTTATCAGATAAGGAACTCCCGCACACTATCGTTACTTGCAATTTAAAAAAGTTTTCACACACAACGTTTCACACGACCTTCGTCAGAAGTATGATCTGTCTCCTGACGAAGGTCGTGTGACCGAAACGTTGTGTGTGAATAAACTTCATTTTAAATTGCAAGTAACGATAGTGTGTGGGAGATCCTTATATATTAATAAACAATTAAAATGTCTCCTTGCTATACTTGAAACATTCATAATCATTAGGCCTACTTTTGCTGGTTGCTTGTGACAGCTTTTGCATTATTGGCAGCGTCACTCTCTGGTCACATGAACACGGCGTCACCACAGAATCAGCACTGAAAACATGGGGATTTTTTAGACAATGATTGCACAGCCTATTCGATCTTCTATAGTTAAATTAAAAAAAAAAAAAAAAAAAAATCGAAAATCGTGCTTTATATTGTAAAACCAGGACACCGCTACACAAATGTTGCTTTTTGTTGATTACTGTCCTACTACAGGATTTAACACTACCAGTTACAAAAGACACTGTAACAGTCTCGCACAGGCAATTCTAGTTGCATTTTTATCAATTAATTTCTTTAATTATGTTCCCACCATCTAGTGTAAAAACAAAAATTTTTGCCTGAGTTTTAAAATAGTTTTTGACAATCAAGTGCCATCCCAAATAAAAGACTTGCCCAACCTGCCACCTCCGCAGAAATAATGTCCTGGCTATGCCCCTGGTTGACATGTCCACTTTAGGCATTCTAATAACCAAAAGTTAACTATATGTTAACTAACTTTCATTATTAGAATATTAATAGACTGTCTGCTTAATATCTGCCAACACTTTATTTTGATGCTCCACAACAGACATTCTACGGTCAATAAATAACTTAGCAAAGAACATGACAACTTATTGTACTAACTCTAACCTAACTGTCTAGTAATACTCTGAGAGTTAGTTGACATGCAGTGGCAGTTATAGTAAAATGTCTAAAGTGGACTGTTGAAGTATAACCACTGTTTGCAATTC